TTCGCAGTATCCCCTGGTTGTTTTTATCTGCATTGTTTGGTCAGGAGTGATTTATGGTGGATTAAAGTGTTGTTGTTGTTGTTGTTGTTTCTCTCTTTTTTTTTTCATTTTTTCTCTCATTATACCATCTATGTATTTCTATCTTTATTCCTTCACTTTCTCTTTGTTCACTTTCATCATTTTTCATTATTTTCCTCACTTCCCATTTTCTTTGTGTCCTTCATTTTCCAGCTTCGTTTTCGTTCGTCCATTTTCTTTATCTATCGTCATTTTCCCCTCCCCCACGCCCGCCACTTCCTTCCTCTTCCCTTCCTTCACTTTCCTTCGTCACGCCCATCGCCCGCCACCCACCGCCGCGCCCACGACCCACCACGCCCACGGCACCGCCCACCACCCTCGACGATAAACAGAACGGCCGTGCTGAGGGTCTGGCGAAGCGGTGAGCCATCTGCCGCGCCTTCAGTGGCCGAAGCAGGTACATTCCGTGTTCCTTATCGGGCGCGGGGGCGTCAGGAGCGAGCACCCGGGGGGAAGGGGGTGAAAGGGGGGGTGAGGGGAGAAGAGGGGGAGAAACGGGAGGAAGGGGAGATGAGGGAAGGATGAGGATGAGAGGGAAGATTGAGAAGGAATCGGGAGGGAGAAGAAGGAAGGGGAGAATGATGAATAGAAATGAGAAAAAAATGTGGAAGGGAAAAAGAGGGAGAGGGGAGAAGAATTGGTAAGGGAGATAAGACCGGGCGCGAGAAGAGGTTAAAAGACGGGACGGAAGGAGGGAAATACCTGGAGGTGGGGGAAGGTGGAGGAGGACCGAGGCGAGGGGCGTGCGTGCGAGTGGCGCCGCGTCGCTTCCGAACCACTCGTCGGGCTCGGCGGTTCGAGGCGCCACGTCCCCCTTCCGCTGCTCTTCCGGCGTCCTCGGCGAGTCGGTGCCGCTCCGCATTCCTCGTAGGTGTCGCCATCGCTTGCAAGAGGGGCGCGGTGCGAAGCGGGCGTCCCCGGCACCCGCCCGGCCCTCTGTTCGGCCCGTCCCACCCACCCGCCCCTGTCGTAAGCCCAGCCCACCGACCTATAACCCACCCGCACGCTAACCCTCTCACCCACTCTCTGTACTGCCAGTAATTCCCTTTATTTGGAGGCGCCGCGGGCCACCTGACTCCCCGCGCGTGGACAAGTCCCCTGCAGACGTGCCCGCGCCACAACCTCCTCTGCCTACGCCCCCGACTGCCTAGCAACCCTTCGCCGTGTCCCTCCTCGTCTCATTCTCTCGCCCCGCTTCCCCTCTCCCCGTCGTCCCCTTCCCCGCCTCTCCCTCGGCCTCCCTCTCCCTTCCCCTCGCCTCCCTCTTCAGAACCACAAAGATCAAGAACCACCAGTCCCTCGGCCGGGAGTCTGGCGGCCTCACACCCTCGCCAACCCTCCCCGAGGCGGACAGCCAACCGAGACTCGTGTTTCCTCGAAGTCCTCGGCGCGTCCTTCGCCCGCTGCTCGTCCCTATGGCAGGATGATACCTTCGCTCCTTATAAGGACCGCACGTGAGGAAGAGCGTGGCCAGGGAGGAGGCAGAAGGCGCAGGGAGCAGGCACGTGCAAGTCTGCTGAAAAAAGAGAAGCACGTGCCAGTGGGGCGTCCTCCAGTGTGGTGTGGCGTGGTGTATCAGTGCAGTGAGGAAACATACATGTAAGACAACTGTACGGGGAAAATAAGCACTGTATTGAGGGGCGAGAATATAACTGTGTGAGGGAAATAACCACTTTGTTGAGGGGAGGATGATACGGTGACGAAGGTGACGAAGGCAAGCAAAAGAGTGGACGAGGGCCTGGCTCCTCTTGGGAATCCGAAGACTGACGAGTGGTCCAGCGTTAAGGGAGGTCATGTCCGTACTGACCTGAGTTCCCCCTTGCGTCGTGTTGTGCTTGCAGAGGTCAGCCGCAGAGGAATTTCCAGACGTGGTACCAAGGGAGCCATTTCTTTCGGGTGGTGATGACCGTGTGGTGTCATTTTGTAATATGAAGTAAGAAAATTTAAAAAAAAAGTCGAGGAATAAAGCATGGTAATTCGTGCGTTGACTCGAGCGACGAATAAACAAGAATAAGAATAACAGGGTGAGAGAAAAAAAAGAGAATAACAGTTTGTAAATATTTCCCGTACACGATGCTGAAAGAAGTCCCTCTTCCGTAGCACAGAACCTCTCTTTGTTTATCCTTGTTTTCCTTCTTCCTCCTTCTCTCCTCCCTCTTTTCCCCTCTATCACCTTGCACACTCTCCTTCAACCAGTCACCTTACAGTCACCTTCCATCCATTCAACTCCCATCCTCCTTCTCTCTCTTATCCACAGTCCTCCTCCACTCCTTCCTCACCCCCTCCAATCGGTCTCCAATCCTCCATCAGCCTCTCCTCCCCCCCCTCCAATCACCCCCACCACCTCCCACCTCCACCACCCCTCCCCAACCCCCCCACCAAGCATTCTAGCCCCTCCCCCTCCCCTTCCCCCTCCAGACTACCTCCTCGTTGTGCAATAAACCAGTGAATCAGTGAATCATTGCCAGCGAATCGGTGAGACAGTGAATCAGTGAATCATTGCCAGCGAATCGGTGAGACAGTGAATCAGTGAATCATGCCAGTCGGTGAGACAGTGAATCAGTGAATCATTGCCAGTGAATCGATGAGTCAATGAATCAGCGAATTAGTGAATCACAGTCGGTGAATCGATGCCAGTGAATCGGTGAATCGGTGAATCGGTGAGAAAGCGACTCTTCTCCCTCCCCCCCCCACACACACACCCCTTCGTCCCCCTCTTCAAGATGGACCGAAGACGCTCCTTGTGGGACACCCTCGCCTCCGACATGCAGACCTTCTCGGCTCTGGGAGAAGATCGGCTCAGCGAGAGGAAGTCACTCACGGTATGGCCGACGAAAGCCTTGGATTCCTGCCGGTTTTTTTTTTTTTTTATCATTATTTTATTTATATTATTTTTTATTATGGATGTTTTTATTTTTTTCATTGATTGTTTTTATTTGTTTTTATTATTTGTTTTTTTTATTTGTTTTTTATTTTATTATTATTATTATTCATTTGATTGATTTTTTATTTGTTTTTTATTTTTTTTATTTTTTATTTATGTTTTTAATTTTTATTTTTTATTTTATTCATTTGATTGATTTTTTATTTGTTTTTATTATTTTATTTATTTTTTTATTTGATGTTTGGTTTATTTATTCAGTATTATATGTTTAAATTTGTTGTTTTCTTTTGTCTTTGGGGCTTTTGGGATGAAGATATGCGTGTTATTGTTTTAGCGATCTGGTATTAATTCCATGTTGATCAAGCGTTGATCTAGTGTGGCTCTGGCGTTGATCAAGTTGATCATGTTGATCTGGGATGGTAGATCTTGCGTTGATTTGATCCTCTGAAATGTCTGTGATCTGATATCTGATCTCTTCGTCATCTTCTTGGCTCTGGCGCCTCAATCACAGCTGATTGATCTGGCTGCTCTGCTGGCCGCATTATTGATCGTTGATTAATATTTGATCTTGGCTCTTGATCAAGACTGGATTGACAAGAACAGAGTTGATAGGATCATCATTCATCAACTATCGACATAAGAGTTGATTGGGTGTAGATCTTGATGACTTGATCTGGTGATTTGATCAAGCATCGATCTGGTGTTGTGTTGGTCTGGCGTTGATCAAGAGTTGATTTGGTGTGATCTGGTGTTGGACGTCGAAGGGTTATTATTTGGAAATAAATATGATTTTTATTCGTTTGGAAGATTTTTTAAAGGACTGAGAGAGAGAAAAAAAGAAATATCCAGACAAGACCAGACAAACAGAAAAGGAGAAAGAAAATGAGAATAAGAGAGATAACAAATGATAGAGAAGGCAAAAAAAAAGTCAGAAATTTCAGGTCATTAAATAGAAAGACACAGAATAGAAAAAAAAGACAGAGAACAGAAAGACAGACAGACAGACACAGGCAGCGTGGAGACAGACAAACAGCCAAAAGGAGCGATGACAACTCCCACCCCCTCCCCTCCCCCCGCCCCCTTTCCTTTGTTCACTTTTGTTATATCGAAGCTGTCATCTTCCTTGCCTCATGTTAGCTCTTGGTTATTTTCTGCTTCTATTCTCTCCCTTTCTCCCCTCTCCTCTATTTTTTGCACTTCCCTTTCTCGTATTTTTTTTTTTTTTTGGACTGTGTGTTTGTCTGCGTATCTGTCTGTAAGGTTGTTTCTCTTTGTTAGTTCTCTTTCTCTCTCGGATGATATTTTCTGTCTTCTCCCCTGAGGTTTCTCTGTCTCTCCTGTCTCTGTCCTCTTCTCTATCTCTCTCTCTCTCTCTCTCTCTCTCTCTCTCTCTCTCTCTCTCTCTCTCTCTCTCTCTCTCTCTCTCTCTCTCTCTCTCTCTCTCTCTCTCTCTCTCTCTCTCTCTCTCTCTCTCTCTCACTCACTCACTCACTCACTCTCTTTATCTCTTTCCTTTCCCCCCCTCTCTCTCTCACTCTCTTTATCTCCATTTCCTTCTCCCTCTCCCTCTCCCTGCCTCTACTTGTTATTTTAGTCGCCCTTCTCGCCATTATGCTTCTCCCTCAACGTTTATCTTTACCTATGACATATTTACTCACTTATTTACCTTCGTTGCCTTGAAAGGGGAAAAATCAAATAATTTATGACACGGGAAAGGGAAGAATAGCAACGGGTGAGGTTGAGAGAGATAGATAGATAGATAGAGGAGAGAGAGAGAGAGAGAGAGAGAGAGAGAGAGAGAGAAGAGAGAGAGAGAGAGAGAGAGAGAGAGAGAGAGAGAGAGAGAGAGAGATGAGAGTCAGAGACAGAGAAAGAGAGAGGGTGAGGTGCGCAATAAAATCATAAGAGAGCAAAGAAGAGAGAGAACAAGAATGAGAGAGAAAGACCCAGAGAAACACAGAGAGAGAAAGAGAGAGAGAAAGACCCCAGAGAAAGAGAGAGAGAGGAAAGACCCAGAGAAAAGAGAGGAGAGAGACAGAGAAGAGAGAGAGAGAGAGAGAGGAAGGGAGTATGAGGGGGAAAAAGGAGGAGATAAATCGTGTATGAGAGGGGTGCAAACCAGGTCACACGGTTCTGCTCCAGGTGGGCGTCTAAATTTAAGAAGAAATTAAGCTTTACTGCCTTAAGAAGGGGAAGGTAGGGAGCACATCTTTCCATTTTCTCTTTGTCAAAGCAAAACAACATAATTGTCGGTAGTTTAAGCAATTTTTTTTATTTCACTTTCTAGAACAAATAAACAAAACGAAGCAGATATAAATGACAGTTCATGTTTTTTTTTTCAATTTCAGAAATATATGAGACAAAGATTAATACAAAACTCATTCGTTCTACAAATAAACGAAGCAACGAAGAAGTGAATACTAGTTATTTTTCTCTCTCTCTTTTTTTCTAGAAATAATAACAGCTGCAACCAAGTGTCACCTTGGCACTGACAGTCGAAGTCATGGCAGGAATTTGTCAAGTTATAGAACACTTTGCAGGAACGCTTGTGGCCACAGTATTTGGAGTACGTGGGAAGGAGAGAGAAGGAGGGAGGAGGGAAGGAGGAAGAGAGAGATAGATGAATAGATAGATAGAGAGAGAGAGAGAGAGAGAGAGAGAGGTGGGGAGACGAGGAGAGAAGGCGATAGAGATAGATAAATAGATAGATAGATAGAAGAGAGAGGTGGGGAGACGAGGAGAGAAAGGCGGAGACGGGGAGAGAGAGAGAAGGAGGGAGGGAGGAAGAGAGAGATAGATATAGATGAATAGATAGATAGAGAGAGAGAGAGAGGTGGGGAGACGAGGAGAGAAGGCGGAGACGGGAGAGAGAGAGGAGGGGGGGGAGAGAAAGGAGGAGGAGGAAGAGAGAGATAGAGATAGATGAATAGATAGATAGAGAGAGAGAGGTGGGGAGACGAGGAGAGAAAGGCGGAGACAGGGAGAGAGAGAGAGGGGGGGGGATAGAGAGAAGGAGGGAGGGAGGAAGAGAGAGATAGATAATGATAGATAGATGGAGAGAGAGGTGGGAGACGAGGAGAGGAAAGGCGGAGACGGGAGAGAGAGAGAGAGAGGGGGGTAGAGAGAAGGAGGGAGGGAGGAAGAGAGAGATAGAGATAGATGAATAGAGAGAGAGAGAGGTGGGGAGACGAGGAGAGAAAGGCGGAGACGGGAGAGAGAGAGAGAGAGGGGGGGTAGAGAGGAGGGAGGGAGGAAGAGAGAGATAGAGATAGATGAATAGATAGATAGAGAGAGAGAGAGGTGGGAGACGAGGAGAGAAAGCGGAGACGGGGAGAGAGAGAGAGAGAGGATAGAGAGAAGAGGGAGGAGAAGAGAGATATAGAGATAGATGAATAGATAGATAGAGAGAGAGGTGGGAGACGAGGAGAGAAAGGGGGGAAGACGGGGGAGAGAGAATGAGAAAGAGAGAGGGGGTAGAGAGAATGAGAGAGAGATGAAGAGAGAGAGAGAGAAGGAGAGAGAAGGAGAGAGAGGGAGAGGGAGAGTGAGAGAGAGCGAGAGAGAGAAAGAGAAAGAAAAAAGAAAAAAAAACAAGAAAATAAAAAAGAGAAAGAGAAAAAAGAAAGGGAAAAAGAGAGAGAGGAGAGAAAGCAGGAAGAAACGAGAGTGGAAAGACCCTTTCACTATTCCTAGTCTAACCACCATTCATTGATACCAAACATAGAAACCAGAAACAACAAGAAAAAAAACGCAATTGAGAAAGTAATTAGAATCACCTTTAATTAATCAGTCTGGCGATCGTTCAATTGAATTTTAAAAGTATTACCAAAGAAGAAAAAAAGACAAGAGATCTGGCAACAGTGATGATATTGACTCGTTCACAGCCTGAAAAGAGAGAACGTATAAACCTTTGAATATCAGTAATTTCTATCTTAATTACATATGGTCATAAAGTCTAAAAGTCTGCGTCATTATCATTAATTTACGACAATAGCAAAAAAAAGGATAACAGATTCGACAAAAAAGAGAGAGAGAATAATGTTATGTAGCACTCAGGCCAGGGAAGGTATGTGAAAATTTCAAATATTTAGAGGTAGGGATTGCGACACTGTAGTTCGTAGATTTACCATGGATCAATTGCAGAGCCGAGTGGAATGCTGTGGCGTGCAGAGGGAGATGCTGAAGGGACGGCGGTATCCGAATTTGGGGGGGTGGGGGTGGGTGGGGAGAGGGGGGGTGAATCCAATCAGAGGGGAGATAAAATAATAATTCTGAAATTCATAGCGTGTTTATTTTTTTGTTTCATCTGCGTTAACATATTCTAAATACCTTTCTAATCCTATTTCTCAGTAGTAGGCCTCATACTTGAGTCTTTGGGACATAAAATAAAGGACATGGCCCAGGGAATCACTCCGTACGCCAATGGTACAATGTACACAGATTGTTCAAATGTCTTTTACCATACCAGCTCATGCCTGGGCTTTTCATGGCGTACTGTACATGCCATACCCACTGCGATCTGAGTTACTTCATTGTGAATTTGTGTTTACATATCGATGATTCATGATTGGTCAATTACGGTCAATTACTAGTTCTACTCATTACACCTGCTTGTTCCTTGATTTTTTGAAAGATTCTCTTTTATTGATCATTAGTAATAGTATTTTGATGATGTTATTATAATCTCTGTGTCTATGATGATGATAGTGGTTCATTAAAAAGAAAAATCCAGAAAATATAAGGACTGGGCATGAGTACTAGTGGAGCCCTCTATGTAAAAAAAAAAAAAAAAAAAAAAACAGTCGATAGTACAGGTACCCACGGCCAGTCCACTCGCACGTACACGCTCCTTTCTCTCTCTCTCTCTCTCTCTCTCTCTCTCTCTCTCTCTCTCTCTCTCTCTCTCTCTCTCTCTCTCTCTCTCTCTCTCTCTCTCTC